ACTTTCTGAGGAAAGAAGTTTTGAAACATCTTTTCTATAATTTTAGTGTTTTCAACTGAGGAGCTTTGATATATTTATTTAAAATAAATTATAGCAGAGGAAGTTCTCTCCACAGAAAAAAATTTTTTTACTGTTTTTTTAACCAAACTGACAAGTTTCTCCAGTAAAACTGTGTAATTTAAAGGCAATGAAACACCTGGTTAAATTTAGAAGGTATTATGATTAACTACAAACATCTGAAGCTGACTCAGAGAACTCTGTGATTTTAGAAAAATAAAAGTCAAATGTAGACACATCTTTAAGAGACCCCCCTCCTCCCCACCACCTCACGCAGCTGCGGTCAGCGCACCTCCACCGCACCCGTGTGATTAATACTGAATTTTTTTGCGCAAATTACAGATATTTGATGATCTTTAAACACGTGAACGTCTGAAGGGGTTGACATGTATGAACTCCCGGGCTGGTCGGAGCTGCGCTGCTGCAGGTGGACAGGTTTGCTGCGCCTCGCTCTAAAAACAGTCAGCTGATCCGTCGCGGTTTTGTTGCGCTCGTGACGTGAACACACAGGGAAATGCTGCGAAGTGCTTTTAGAAATATAGTAAATACAAAATAAGACGTAATCCTCGGTGGAAAATAGTCCAGGAAACGCGGGAGGTGTTACCTGCAGCTGAGTGAAGCTGACCCCCCACCCACAGAGAAAGGAAAAAAGGCAGTATAATGCCTGTATAATGGTAGGGGAAACACTGTGACTAATTTTTTACGAATATCACCCACCCCTGTCTGTGTTCTAACTCAGTTACAGTCAACTTTCAGCGGTTCTTAAAACCCAAAATAATAGAGAACCTTCAAAGACGAACGCATGAATCACTGTGTGAGGAGTATTGTGAGTGTGCACGTGGTAAACAGCTTCTGTGGACATTTACGGCCCTGATATTTTACTTTATATCCTGCATTCTGTGCCGTACACGTCCATATATCACTTTAACATCTCTACAAAGGGCTTTTAGATGTCATCTCTGTTTCCAGAGCTTTTTAAAGATAGCTGGCTGATATTCCCAGCAGAGGGCCTGTGCTGTGATATATTACTGCTGCAGCTTTCACAATGGATGCTGTGTCATTACCTCAAGCCCCCTCCAAACAACAGTTAGGATGAAAGGGCTGCAGAAGAAAGTTCACATTACCCGCCTCCCTCAAGGAGACTCACTGATGAGATCACTGCATCGACACGCCCTCTGCTCAGGATTAATATTCATGTTTTCTCTTGTTTTATCTCGTAATCGTTGTTTTTTTTAAACGTCCAGGGCAATGTGACCTTTTCCTGTCCCGAGCCCGTTTCTGTGGCCGTGACGTTCCCTGGACCCCGGAGCTTCCTCCAGCTGCCGTGGGCGAGCGCGTCCACGTCAGAGGGCGTGTCCGCGGGGTTCCAGTTCAGGACGTGGAACGAGGCGGGGCTCCTTCTCACCTTCGACCTCCCTCGGCAGGGGGGCGTGGTCTGGGTGCTCCTGAGTGAGGCCCGACTCCTGGTGAAGATCCACGCAGGAGGCAGAGTGCTGCTGGAGCTCAGCGCAGGTCAGGCTACGCTCTGAATACTGATCTAAAACCTGAAACGTTGCATAAAAAACACTGACGCTTTATTTTCCCAGGTTCTGCTCTAAACGATGGTCAGTGGCACTCTGTGGATCTGATCTCCAGACGTGGTCGTCTCACCGTCTCTGTTGACAAACAGGAAGGAGGCGTTGCTCACGCCGCCCCCTCCTTTCCTGTTTCAGCACCGAATCACGTCTTTTTTGGAGGTAAGAGCAGCATTTATAATTTATATTTAAATAATCTTGGTATGAAAATAAAGCTAACACGGGAGATTTCATCAAAAGTAAAAATATGAAAGGAGCTGCTTTTGTTTCAGAGATACAGAGGATGAAACAAAAAAATATATTTGTTTTTCCTCCTCGCCTGAAGTTTTTTGCATTAGACGTCATATAACCCTTTTAAAAATTCAATTAATAAGGTTAAAAACTCTTGGAAACCATAAATCTACAGGTGGACATCACTTGTGCAAAGAGTCATGCTGCTAAAATAAACTGGAGTAAAGTCAGAGGTTTTAGTAAAAAACATGACTCAGCGTTTTGTCATTCTGCACAGGATGGAGCATCAGTGAATGTTAAGAAATCTTACATGTTTTTAAATGTTTATTTTAAACACACACACCTTTTACCTTATTCATATAAAACAATGAAAATGATTTACTCAAAATTAAAAAAACATATTGTCATATTTGACTTGCATATCTACTAAAAATGTACAATTTATACTTTTTGATTCAGTTCTTTGGACATAAAAATGATTTTAAAAGCTTTTAACCAAGATTCTGACATCTCAGTGGAAACCAAACATGTTCAAATTACAGATCTTAACACAAGTTAAAAGAAACATAAAACAGGAAGTGCAGTTTTAGCTCTGGTTAAATCAGATCTGAGTACAGATTATTTAAATAAGCCACTGTATTAAAATAATGGTTTTTATCTGCGCAGTTGGTGGTCATAATGTTTTGGTTGGCTGTGCTGTAATGTTTTCCTATTTGAAAGCCTCTTTCAGCTGCTGGCAGTTTTATAATTAAAGTTATGTCTGCTGAATCTCTCTTCTCTTTTTATCTTTTTTCATGCYACTTCCCTTCCATCGCTTTCTTTATCCTCACATTTCCTTTTATCTCTTCGCTCTCACTCGCCGTTTGCTCCCTCCTCGTTTTTTTTTTCTTTTCTTTTTTGTTTCATTTTTCATCACCTAAACTGCCGTCTCTTTTGTTTTTTCCAGCTGCTCAGCAAAATTGGAAACCAGACTTATTCTTCACCGCCTTAGGCCTTTTTTTTTTTTCATCATCCTGCTCATGCAGATTCACGTTTACACTCGACTCTCCTTCCTCGTTTCATGAACGTCAGTTTACTGATGTCACCCGACTCTCTTGTGTTCTTCATCGAGGTTGTCCTCCCGACGACGCCAACCGGGAGTGTAAAAACCCCCACGACGTCTTCCAGGGCTGCATGCGTCTGCTCGCTTTGAACAATCAGCCGGTTGATCTGATCATGGTGCAGCAAGGACTTCTGGGAAATTACAGCCAACTGCAGATGGACATGTGTGGAATCATTGACAGGTCAGACCTACAGAAACATGCTAGCAGTTCACCGTTAACCCATCAACAGCTGCAGATATTTAAAGGCTGAGAGTCTGTTTGTTCTCTGTTTTATGGATAACAGGATGTAAAAATAATGAAGCATTAATCTCTCAGCCTTCATCTGGGTTCTTGTGATAAATTTATTTAAAAAATAAGTTTTTAAATGTATTATACTGTAGTGGAGAGTTTCAGTTAATGAACAGTGGGACATCAGTTTGTATTTCTTGATCTGACATGTAGGACCACAAATCAAGACCAGGCTGCACCAGAAGTGGGTCATTAACTGTTCAATTTCAACAACTCTTCCTTGATTGTAGGTTGTCCTTGTTTGAAAGGACCTAATTAATTCCATAAACCATCTTTACCAGGGGTGTAGTTTGAACCAACAAGGACACCTGTCCATTAGATCCTAAGTCCAACACCTTAACCACTGGACCATCTGGTTTTTGTAGTCCTTCAGGGTCCAGTATACTCGACCCGAAGTCAAACAGTCAACACGGTCCTGAGAGTGATGGGAAACTACAGTACCCATCTCTGCATTGGTTTCTTCTGGGGGTGGGGTCACAGTTCTCATGGTGGGTTGTGACAAGAAGGAGTGGAAGACTTGAAGCTGTGGACAAAAATAATGTGACATTTGTCCTGTAAGACTAGAGTTGATTTTGGCAGTTCAGATGGAGTATGTATAAACTGTAAACTTCAAAGGATTTAATTGTGTCACTTTAGAAACTTTGCATTTCTGTGATTAGAGGTCTTCTAATCATCTTTACCAGGAGTGGGGTTTGAACCCACGAAGACATGTGTCCATTGGATCTTAAGTCCAACGCCTTAACCACTCRGCCATCCTGGTCACAGATATAATCTTTGCAAGATAACAAACAACGAGCAGCTAACATCAGCAACCATTAGCTTATCGTTCTGTCGACGCATCGTACTGCTGGATGGTCCGGTACAGTCTGTACAGTATTTGACCTTCAAGTTTGGTGTGGTCCATTATTGTTGGGGTCCAAATAAAATGAAATTAGGTTCAAATAAAATAAAAATCACACTTGTTTATTTATTCTGACCTTGTTGACATGAAGGAAGCTCCCTCCCCAATGGAAACAAAACCAGGGTGGGGCCTTTAGTTGCTTATATGTTTCTACCAACAGTAATTGTTTCATTTCTTCTGTTAAACCATAGCTTTCATCTATTGACTGTTTGCTGTGAGATTCTAGTTTAGTCTTTGTTTAGCACTAAATGTATGTTGTTTAATTGATCATCTTTACCAGGAGTGGGGTTTGAACCCACGAGGACATGTGTCCATTGGATCTTAAGTCCAACGCCTTAACCACTCGGCCATCCTGGTGCTGAACCTCACAGCTCACCTGAAGAACAGGCGAACGTGTAAAGAATTGAGCATAGCCATACATAGAGTAGAGTAAACATGTCAATAATTAAGATGAAGGAATCGATATTGAACACAAATAAATCCACTTTAAAGTCCGTCAGACTCAAACTGTTTAACACCTCATGAATTAATTTCTCTGTCAGCTAAAGGATGTTACAGATGAGCTAAAAAACTGCTGCACCTTGTTATCAGTTTCCTGGATAAAGAGAAAAAAGCATGTTCAAGTGATGCAATTTTTTTCTGTTAGCAGGAAAAATAGCACAAAAAGCATTAATAATGCCACTGTTTTGATGTTAAAACAGGCCAAACTACATCAGAAGATTTTGCTTTGACAAACTGCACAAAGCCATTAAAACAATTGCAAATAGTTGCTGAGACAAAAAATATCAGCTTTAAAACTTTATTTGCATACAAACAATTTAATACAGAGAAACCTATCAATCAAAAGCGAAAAGTTTGCTGCATATTTTTATTTTTTTCTCAGCGGCTCTCATTGTTTTGTCACCAAACGCCAGGCTGACATTTATAAGAAATATATTTGCTTCTTTTCTTTGATTTCTTTGACAGCGTAATTTATTTGTGAGGTGCAGCATTGTGCTTTGCGCAATCCAAGACACAAACAATCACGCAGATAAAATAAATAAACAAACAAAAGCAGGCTCGCACACTGACAGTATTTTGATTAGGAGATGGAGATTTATTGTTCGGAGCAGATCAGAGACGTGTTTATTCTCCGTCATACCTGTCAGGTTATATGGTTTTTTTACCTCTTGTTTTCACTTGTCTTTTTCTTGTGATTTGCCAAGTTTAATAATATTTAATTAAATRTTCTGATGGTTTTAATAGAAGCTCTAACATTATAAAAGCTTTTTTTTCTGGCCTGTTTTGGTTGTTTCAGCCTTAAAGTTTCTGTTTCAGGCTCACCTCTCATTCATTTCCTGACCTGAAACCAGGCTGTAATGTTTGTGTTTGTGTGTCTAAAGGTCTTAGTAAAGATCGCAGAGGAAACCGAGCGTTAAGTTTCCTCCAATCATCAGTTTTCTGACAGGAGCTGAGTCAGCGTTCATATCTAAAAAGTTGTAACAGAAGTTCTCCTCATCGTGATACCTCAGAAGGGTTTATTTTCACTTTGACTTTATTTTAGTTTCCTTTTAAAGAATTCAGTTTCTGTTGACGTCAGCTGGTTTGTGCAGGATGTATGTCGATATGTTTTATTACTAAAGACGGGGATGACGTCTGAAGTTGAAGCCACAAGGGATGAGCGCCCTCTAGTGGTTCGCTTGTGGAACAATTTAAAGACCTAACGTTTCATTTAAACGAGACTTTTTCCTAAGCAAAAAATAAAAGTCAACTTCAGACCATTTTTGTTGATCTGTGTAGCTACAACTATCGAAGGCATTGATTCTAAATGTAACATACTGAGACTTTAAATGGAATCAAGCGTTTATTTTACCAGGAGTGGGGTTTGAACCCACGAGGACATGTGTCCATTGGATCTTAAGTCCAACGCCTTAACCACTCGGCCATCCTGGTTACAATATGGTACCATCAAATGACAAGCTAACATTAGCTATCATTAGCATACTGTTCTGTCGACTTCCCCTGCAGGATGGTGGCCCTCATGAACCAGGACTGGATGCTCCTGGGTTAGAGGGTTACAGTTTGGGTGGTTGGGGGTCAGCATTACTGTTTTGCCACCTTTGCAAGACACAACCGTTGTAATTCCACAGTTTGCAGGAATCTACCACTCAAAACTACAACATGGAGTCAAAATCAACATGGAGTCGTAATCCAGAAAGATACTGATGATTGTGACTTGATTAGGGATGCAAACAATTAATCGAATTACGATTATTTGTCGAATAATGGTTTATTAGATTAAAATTCCTTCCGTTCGATTAGTTGAAAACATCCGTTTAAAMCTTATTTCAGTTTAGTTTTGCCTTCATCCAGTAGAGGGCGCCACTGCTCTCTGCCTGGCCTACCCTACGTTGAGCTGAGCAGAGAGCAGCGTATTAATTAAACGCACAAATCTTGTTTACTTTAGTTTGTGACACAGCAAAAACAATGGACCACACCAAACTCGAAGGAAAAGTACAGAAGGTTGTACCGGACCATCCAGCAGTATGACGCTAAAGACAAGCAGGACGACAGAGAATGGTAAACTAACTTTAGCTAATGTTAGCATCTTGTTGTAGAGTTTAACTCTGTGTGAAAAAACAAAACAAAAAAAGTTAGTCACTACAAATAATTAACGTGACGTAACCCYGCCAGTGAACAAATCAAATGAACAGTAACCGCTTATCAATTAATCGTTAGTCGATCGATAAGATCAATCAACTTTAGAGTAAACCATTAACCGATAACTTGCATCCCTACTTGATACTGAGTTTTTCCATTTTTTTAAAGGATGTATCACTTTTAACAGATTTATGTTGGTTGATGTCATTACTGAATGGTTTATATTTATATATATGGCAACACGAAGAAACATTTTGATTCTTGATGTTGTTTTGGTTTATTTGGGCTCTTATGATGAAATCATTTTAGTTCTTAAAGGGACGGTTAAATATATTCATATATTCAGGTTTCATATCATCACACATTGATGATATAAGAGACTGCAGTTTGTCTAAGTAACCAACAGATAGATGGATCTTTCTGGAATTGTTGTTCAAATTAAACTGCTGGTCTTCAGTGACCTTTTCTTCTTCATTGATTTATTTTTGCTACCGTGTGTTGTTAGAAACAGCAGTCAGAAGAAATCTAAATTTAGGTTCTTTAACTACAAAGCACACGAACACCACGCGTCTCCTGCGTTCTTCAAGCCGGCAGACCCTCCTGATGAAACAGCTGAATGTGAGCAGCTTCACGGTGCAAAATGATTCGTATGCAGCGTCTTTACCCTCCCGAGCTCTTTGTTCTGTGCATACCTTTGATTTTTAGTTCAATAAATCACACTATCGTTAGCTTTAATGATGAAGGGTTGTGTTCAGAGGGTTGACGGTGAAGAAGGTGCATTTGCATGTGTTGGAAAAAAGCTGTAAAAACATGATGAAATATAAAAATGTATGCTGGTAAATGAATTATCTAGCAAAATCTCTCAGGGGATTTTGATCCTCATCAACATACAAACAAAATATCACTTTCCTAAAATCATCGTTTTATTAAACTTTTGTTTTGATTCAACATTAAACCTCATYAGAAGTATTTCTCTTTTAGCTCTTTCCATGCTCCTACACAGGGCTGATRTCATAATGGTTACTGACGTACTGTATTTATCTAAAAATAGCTCTCAGCGCTCCAGCGGCGTCTCCCGGGAGGTGGATTCATCGAAGGAGCCTCTTCAAACGGTCTGGAAGCTCTCAGAGAAGATCTGAAGCTGAGAACAAAACGATGCTCTTAATTCAACCCAAAACTTTCTTGCTAACATGTTTCACATGAATAAACTCAATTTAAAAATAAAACAAAATGAAGTATTATATGTTTGTGGTCCTCCACTTCCTGTAAATGTGCGTCCTTCATGGTTTGGACTCACAGATTCTCCTGCCAGGTTAAAAACTGAGGGGATTTCAACGCTTTGAACAGTTTGTCATGTTTCACAAAACATTTCATCAACAGTAAAAATAAGTTTTACAGAAAAACACATTCAAGTGTGATTAAAGGATTAAAAATAGGTTTKAAGTAATTTAAAACCTGACATGAAAGAGCTTAGTCAAATGTTTTTGTCTCTAATCAGTCATAAAACAGCACCATTATATAATCTGTGCAGWGGTGGACATTGTTCTGCTAACTAGTTAAGAGCTAATAGCTAATAATGTTACTTTAGGTAACTGGATTAGCTAACTAACTTTGACAACCATTAGCGAGCCTATTAGCTTCTGCTAAATTTGGTTTTGCCAAATTTAAGTCAGCTAACAGCTAACAAACAAAACCAACATCAACAGGTTYGTGTCAGTCCCACCAGTCAGAGTGAGTGACAGACATCTTAGCGGTTAGCTGTTACTGTGAGCTTTCACTATTTTTTTACTTGTTTACCATTAGTTTCCACCGTTTTTTTATGTCTAGCAGCTTTGCTTAACGAAGTTATATTTTTGGTTAGCAGATTATGAATTTGCAAAGCTAACATTTTGGTGAGCTGTGCGCACCACTGAGCAGAACTAGAGGTGGGCATTGTTCCGCTAATCAGCTAACAGCTAATAGAGGAATAAAATTTTTAGTTTAGCTGGTTAGCTTTTTCATTAAGTTTGAAAACTGTTAGTGGACAAATTAGCTTCTTTTAAATTAGATTTTGAAAACTTAAAGTTGTCCCACCAGTCTTCAGCTTGACAGAGACAAAGACGTGTGACACAGACAGTGACAGCCGTCTTTGTGGTTAGTTTCTGATCATTTTTACTTGTTTAGCGTTAGCTTCCGCTCACTTTTCTATTTAAATTTTTTTACATGTTTAGCATTAGCTTCTGCTCATTTTTGTATTTTAATTTTTTTACATGTTTAGCAGCTTTGTGTTAGCGAAGCTATATTTTTAGTTAGAGGATTATGAGTTCGAAACAAAGCTAACTTTTTGGTTAGCTGTATGCACTAAACAGAACCAACCATGAGCATGGTTCTGCTAACAGCTAATATCAGCAGAATAGCTTTTTCACTAACTTTGAAATTGATTAGCGGACCAATTAGCTTCCACTAAATTAGGTTTTGCCAACTTTAAGTTTGCTAACAGCTAACATCAACAGGTTTGTATCAGTCCCACWAGTCTTCAGCTGGAAGRAGACAAAGACGTGACRTAGACTGAATGAGTCATTAGTGGTTAGCGATTAGCTGTTTACCTTTTTTACATGTTTACCGTTAGCAAAGCTATTTTTAGTTAACTGATTGAGTTAGCAAAGCTAACATTTACAGTTAGCTGTGCCCACAACTGTATTTGTTGATCATTTACCATTTTGTTTACTGTAAACRTACTTCATGCTATATTTTTAAACAGATAGCTTCATTAGACGTGGAGATTAGTTGATTTGATGCAGTATTTTATTGTTTTTAGGAGCAGATTCCTKTAAAGTTGTGCCTCTTCTTGCTGTGTTTTGTGTCAGATGTTCTCCCAGTCACTGTGAACATGGCGGACACTGCAGTCAGTCCTGGACCACGTTTCATTGCAACTGCTCCGACAGCGGCTACAGCGGCGCCACCTGCCACAGCTGTGAGTCAYGTGACACACTAACACCGTCACATTAGGATCGTAACAGAAAAAATCAAACATCAATAGTCTTTACCTGCTTTATTTTATCAAAGTTGAAACTATAAATAACTGAATCAGTTCATGAATTCATATTGTCATTTTTGCAGCATAGGGAGGGAAATCACAGCTAATCTATCTAAAACTTTTTACCAGTGTAGTGATAATCTACATTTGTATAAATGGTGAATAAATAAGAATACATATTTAAATCCTTCCCAYTTGAAGCAGGAAGTTGTAACTTAATAAAACTTGTTTGCATGTGGGCGACATGCTGAAGGGTAACAATCCTGCAGCTATGACTGAAATACCAAATGTCCTGTTAAAAAGCATGAATCAATCAAAGCGCTGCAGTGAGGCGAGCTCTCTGGTCGTGTGCCGAATGCTTTTAGTGAAACTGAAAGCCAAACGTTTCCCACACAGTTCACCATAGGTCATATTTTTATTCCTGACATCTCTGTGGAAGCTGTTTTCTAACAACGCCGAGCAGCAGAAGAAGAAGATCAAAAAGATGGAAGACTCCAGGAAATAAAAAAAATGTTTTACAATGTTAGATTCAGGTGAAAAAGTTGTATTAATGGAATCTAGTGGACAAGTTTTTTGYGATAATGAGTCACTGATTCAGCCGTATTACCCATAATCCTCCACATGGTGAGTTTTCATCTTCTTCGTCCCCYCAGCTGTGTACGAACCGTCCTGTGAAGCGTACAAACACAACGGCAACACGTCTGGATATTTTTACATCGACGTGGACGGCAGCGGAGCGATYAGACCCCAGCTGGTCTACTGCAACATGACAGGTGACTTTATCCTCATTACTGAAAACAGTTTTATTTGTTTTTTGATGAAGGTTTTGTGCTTTTAWATTAGGCTTCAACAATATAATCAATAAGAACCAGGTCGATGTTTTATCTATAGATGAGAACACGTGGATGGTGATCCAGCACAACAACACAGAGCTGACCAAAGTCCGTCCGTCTCCAGGCGTCAAGCAGCACTCGGTTCACTTTGACTACGGGTCTGAGGAGGAGCAACTGTTGGCAGTCATCAACCAATCAGAGCACTGCCAGCAGGAACTGTCCTACCACTGCAGGAAGTCCCGCCTCCTAAACACTCAAGGTAGGAAGTGTGTTTCACTTGATACAGCAAGATAAAGAAAGAAAGAAAGAAAGAAAGAAAGAAAGAAAGAAAGAAAGAAAGAAAGAAAGAAAGAAAGAAAGAAAGAAAGAAAGAAAGAAAGAAAGA